TCTTTTCAGAGCCTGGACCGGTTGAGTAACATCAGCCGACGGTGGACTTTAGCCACCATCGGCTGAAAACAAGTCACAGGAGTGCAGAATGAACTGCGCTCCTGTGATTCATAGGAGAAGTAAAGCCTAAAAAGCTTTGGCTATTCTCATACTAGGTCCAAAAGATATCTTCAGATCCTTTTCTGGTGAGAAGGGTCGGAAGGCGCCCTACATTCCCTCATGGGAACACAGGCTTTTCCTCCCATAGTAAAATTCTTAAGCTCCCTCACACTCATGGTAATGCATAGATATAGTGTGGACAGGACTGACAGTGGTTGCTTGGATAGTCATAGAGAGCATGGAACCCCCACTGTAATTGCAGCAGTAGGAGGGGGTATTTGTTAACATGCTCTTATCGTTTTTTCCTAGTAGCATGTACAGTGCTCATCAGTGGCTACCAGGATACTGGTGTGAGTCTATGGTAGTGAGCATTACTGGGTGAGCAGCTTTATCACACAGCTTGCTCCATGCAGTGTCCATTTGTGAGGCTGCTGCCATCATGACAACACCAGTGTCGTGACAACAGCATTCTGGACTGCAGGGGGACAGCCCCTGACAGCTAAGCCACTGAGGAAGGTGGCTTAGCAAAAATTGAGAGATGGTTGTCTACAGAATGTGGGATGACAAGGGTGCCAGTGCACAGAAACAGCTTTGACTCTGGTTGTTATAAACATTTTGATAGTCAGTATACATCGAAAATGTTAAACGTGAGCTTTTACTTTTACTTAGGCTCTATGGAGCTTCCTGTCTTTTCCAGTTCAACATTCCGTAAGTTGAAACATAAAATCCACATTAACGGTTTTTCTCAGCCAGTTTCCTAATTCTTTTAGCTGCAAACAAATGTTAATGTTAATTAGCAGCAGCAGCTTGGAAGAGACTATCACTCGTAATCTAACCTTGCATGATGATCATATCCAGATAATTTAATAAAAACATCCAATTAGCAAGATACGTAAATGCAGGCTAAAAAAATTATTTTTCTTGGCATGCACAACGTTTTTGGAAAAGTATCTTCATCCAAGTAATGCCATATTCTCTTTTTTAATATATATTTTTTGCAGGCAGCCTTATTCTGATCAAAATGAGAGGTTGAGAGTAAGGGAAATGTTCTCAGTTTCTATCAGTAAAGCAGCAGGTTTTTCAGATTTCTTAAAAGGCAGTTGATGTGTTTTAAGTGTTTACATTTTTCTTTTCCATTCTCATTGTTTAAATGTATTTTTATATATTTCCTTTACCTATGTACTTTAAAAGTTTGTACGTAATAATTCTCATATGCAGGCCACTTTGGCAGATTCTTTTGTTCTATCAAGAAAAGACTTTGCTTGGTAAAATAATCTTTCCAGCACTAAGTAAATAATAAGAATGATAGGTGAAAATCAACAATTGCTACATCTGTCTATTTCCCCATTTTGGTGTAAGTTGTAGGATAGTATAGACCCTCCTAGTTCTTTCTGTATAGAATGCCACTGCTGTCAGAGTAGTCTACAATTTTGTACTGGGAGAGCAGGATGGTTGCTGCTGCATTTTCTCAGTGGTATTTTGGTGTTATTTTGCCCTAGAAAATAGTTCAATAGTGTTGCACTATGTACATTAATAAACACTAAACCTTTGCGGTTTTTGAATGATTTTGTACTATAGGTGCCAACATACACTTACAGATCTGTAGGGAAAGCCTGTTTTTTTTCCTACTTTGTCCAACAATAAATGGTATGAGTATAGATAACCCTGTTTACCAAGGCTATTTGATGATCTAAAAAACCGACATGCTACCATCAATTTTTTCTTAGTTGGACCTTCATGTATTATACAGGAATTTCTAATTTTGCATTGAAAAAGATGGGGAGTGCAAAATCAGGCTCACTTCTGCATAGAAACCAATTCGCTTCTAATTCTCAGCTTGTTCAGTTAAGCTTTGGCAATAAAACCTGGAAGCTGATTGGTTTCTATGCAGAAGTGAGCCTGATTTTGCACTCTCCAGTTTTAATAAATCACCATATGTCTATACAAAATGACAAATTCCTGTAAAATAAATGAAGGTCCAATTAAGAAAAAATATAAGGTAACCTCTGTTTTTTTTTATCATTAAATAGCCTTGGTGGACAGGGTTATCTATACTCGGACGAATTGTTGGTGGACAAGGTGTAAAAAAAAAAAAAAAAAAAAAAAAAAAAACTTTCCCTACAGATCTGTAAGTGTATATTGGCACCTGAAGTACAAAATCATTAGAAAACCACAAAGTCTTACTAAGGTTCAGGGCCAGAGACATAGCAGTGGTTTGGGTTATCTTTTTTTCTCCAAGAAGCAGTTTTTCATATGCTTTGCCTCCAAGTAATCAAATGCTAGAGATGGACTGTGCTGAAGCTTCTATTTTTTCCTGATTACTACAGCGTTTGGCAAATGCCTGTCCATATCTAATTTTTTATTTTTTTTTTGCAGAATAGTTCATTTGCAGCAAGTATTTCACTGCTGTATATACCCACTGAAAAAAAAAAAACTTAACTTACCTCTTCTACTGAATTCTAAGTAATGATGTGCTGTAAGCTGATCATAGATATATATTCACAACTAACTATGCTGTTTATTTCTGGTCGCCTGATGTGAATTTTGAAAGACACTTAAATCCACTTTAACCTCTTGACCTCTTTTACCTCTTTCATGACCAGGTCATATTTTGCTATTCAGCACTGTGCCACTTTAACTGGCAGTTGCTCAGTCATTCAACACTGTACGTAAATTAAATGTCCGTAACAGATTCTGGCGGATAGGGATTCTAACTCTCACTGACATTGCTAGTGACACTAATGCAGTGATAATACTGTGCAGTGTACTAATGACATGCCCTGGAAAGAGGTTAACATCAAGGAGAAATCAAGGAGTTAACTGTGTGCCTAAAGTTTAATCTGTGCTGCTTTTACCCACAGATCTGTCTGCATTTTCTCCCTGAACTCAGAGTTTTTCAGGTAAAAGAAACAGCCAGATTTCTGTTTGTGTACAGAGTTCTGTGTGTTTGTAAACACAGAACTCTGTGCTGTGATTTTGTAAACACACAGAACTCTGTGCTGTGATTGGCCAGAGCCAGTCAGCAGATATAGAGCCAAATTCATTGGTTGAAACCGGCTAACAAATTTGTGCTGTGTCCACCCAGAGCACGAGTCAGCAGTGGGTGCACGCATGCCTAGCCAGGCTGTGCTGCCTGCCCACAGTAGATGTACTGTGGGCAGGCAGTTAACAACAGTGCAGTGTTTATTTCTACAAGTGACCTTTGCCACTTGGACAGAAAGTGAGAAAAAAATGTAACCTTTTGAGGTATAACCAAAATAGTCTAAACATCTAATAACTATCTTGCTTTAGAGCGATATCCTCCTACTTGTGTGTAAAATAACATAACATTAAAGGAAAATCTCCCCAATGGCATACAGATGGCAAAAAAACGGATGGGGTTTACACATTCTCTACCCTATCCAAAATGAAAACAAAAATGGCTTTAGATATTCTTTAAATTTGCCCCTACCCTGGTGCTAGCATGACACTGTCAATAGCTGTTTAGTCAAACAGCGGACTTTGCGTTTTCCATTAAGTTGACCAGCCACATTATAGGGGGGGAAATTGAGTAGTTTATAAGCTTTTATTTTATATCCATTCTCTTTGCACTTCATCCAGAACTTAATTTTTCCATTTCAAACGAAGTCTCTACTGTGCTGCCAACAAGCATTCCTCCCACATGCTGGGAATAATTACAAAATAGTTTCTCTGTAAGTGGTCAAATAGCTGACAGCACCAACATACCTCCATCTCTTCTAACTTCTGCATTTTATTAAACAGCTTGAGCTACTGAATCTTTATGCCTTTTTACAGCTGCTCTCTTATTCTTACTTTCTCTTGACTGCTGAATTTAGGAAATGTCTTTTCTTTTTTCTACCCCTTATCGCACCTGTACAATGTTCGCATGTGTCACATCACTTAAAGCATTAAATCCGGCAACAGGTTCCCCATTTCTTTGCTGCTAGATTCACAGAAAATTATATCCTCTTTTCTGTAAGCCACAACTGCAGCAATACAATGAGATTAGATAACATTACTCTAAGGACTCCTGACAGCTGAAAGTAGGACTTGCTCTGCTTCTTCTTAAGTGTTTTCTATCGCTTTAGTGCTTTTGTGTTAGATTTTGCTGACTTGTTTTGTTTTCAGTGCTTCTTTTGCTAGCATAGTGTGATAAAGGTAAGAGTGTTTGTTATGGCTGGGTGTCATATAGCATCTTTCTTTCGTATTTCTAGTAATGTTTTGTGGTTTTTTTTTTTTTGTTACATCTCTCCATTATGTACGTTTACTATTTTGTGCACGTTGGTTGATCCCCGTACATTTTGTAGAGTATTATAGCAATGAGGCAGCTTAGCTTTGCTTTCTCTGTAGAGGTCAAAGAAGACTAGTTGAAATTTTGCAAACTGACAGATTTCATTCAACATTGAATGTCTCCCTACATAATCATTTGTGTCCTTATATGCATAAACTGCAGCATGGTTGTGCCAAACTAGACCTCTTTGTGTGACAACCTACTTATGTGTATAACCAGCCTTCTAGTACTGGCCATATGTCACTATGTCCAGAGATGTTGTGGTAACACAGTTCTTATATATCAGATAAAATAAGTATTTTGTACATGTAAATTGTGTCATGTTATTTGTGCATGGAAATTGTCATTTTCCCTAAGTCTCTGTAAGCAAAGGAAATATGAAGAAATAAGTCAGATGCCTCTTGACCCAATAAAAATAAATTGATTGCATAGTCTTTGTGAACGTTCAGGCTCAGGAGTTTGTCTTATGTGAAATGGAATTTGTATTTGACATCTCAGTCTCAAGATAGTGTTTCTTGTACTTGTTTATTGCCGTCATGGAATACAGTTTTTGATTTATGGCAGAAGTCACAGCCTTAGATGTGCTTAATACTGTTAATGAAGCTAAAAGATGCACAAATTCTATCCACATTCAGGTGAAGAAGCATTTGACAGCCCCCCTCCCTCACAGCCCCCACCTCCGCCACCACCTCCAGCTCGTGCCTGCATCACCGAGCATGCAAAATCATCAGTGTCGGGAAGCAGACCAAATTCCGGTGTGGACCTGTTTCTTCCGTCAGTGGGTAAGATTGGTTGGAAGCAAATAATATATATAAATATAAAAACTTGTGCACAAACAGATTAAATGGAAAACTATTACCACTCTTTTCCATTTGATGTACTTTATTGATTCTTTTCCGGAATGTCAGATACCATCATGCATTAAATTGAAAAACATTAGGATTTGCATTAAATCTCCCTTCATTTTGCAGGCACTTGCCACAAACTGACATACTAAGAAGGTGCTATTTCTCCACATTTGTGAATTTCTAATAGCCATTTAGGTAAAATGAGCAGATAATTGATTTGTCTGTGGGTCACATAAACATCATAAGAAACCACCGGGGCAGACCCAATTAAAATTCATATTAGGATGGTTTATAAAGGCTTAGAATACTTCCCAAACAGTTCATGCAAAGTCTTACCAAGTTTCAATGGATTCATGTTCGCTTTAGAAGTACCTTGTATTAAAGTGTGTGTTTTGTGCATATGTATCAAACATGTGCACCATACATTTTTAGGAAGAGTTCACACCTTTTGTGGTAACGTGTTGGTATTTGTGCCTTGACAATAATTCTGAATGGCACCCTGAAGCATGTAAGCAAGACCCTGATTCGCCACCAACAACAGTCATGCTGGCCAAGGGCCCCCTCTCATTATCTCCTGTAACAGGAACAAGATGAGGTAACAAATACCTGAATTATGGAGGAACTTTGTCATCTTGGCTTTGCACATATTACTGGTTTGAAGCCCACCTTGGAAAATAAACTATTCTGCACGTGGTCAGCCTTTTAAAATTGGTTACTGTGAACTGGGTGAAACGTTTTTTCCAGGGAAATTGTACATCACCTCCTTCTTCCCATAAAACAACTGCAACACTGTTCCTTACAAATTCAAATTTACAAGGGGGTGACAACCAGCTTTTCCACTTTTCCTCTGCTTTAGGTTCCCTGAAATGGGTTCTCTCCTCTTCCTTGTTCTAGGCCTACCCCGAAGACCGCAATCCAGCACTAGTCTGCAGCCTGCATGATGGCTCTCTACAGACTTCCACTTCCCTTCAACCTCTGGCTCCAATCCACCTGTCCCCTGATTTATAAGACCGCTAAAAATACTTGAAGCACCTGGGGCAAGGCTTCCCTTAAAGGGGTGCTAACCCCTCCTTACATTACCGACCCATTTAACAATCGCTTGTACCCACGCCATGGGTACGATAATTGTGCACGGCTAGTAGCTCTACCCTAACACTAAACATACAAAAATGCATTGTAGAGAAAAATATAGCATATAAAACATATGTTTATATATAGGTACAATCCTTAAACAATTAAGACATAACAATATACAACAGTAGCGCCAATATTCTACCTTAACAATTTTAGCAGTCTTTTATGTCAAGGAGAGTTATACAAAATCAAAGATGATAGTTGGGGCTCTGGGAAGTCCCTCCACTTACCAGTGTTAAGCAGTATACATGCTGAGTCTGTTTTTCCTTTAAACAAATGGGTTGAACAAAAAAACTCACAGATCTCCGCATCAACACAAGCAATGTTGCTGCAGGAATTTTTCCCACTGTGTCTTTGTATCCTCTGCTGTTAGAATGCACAGATTAGTGCTGATCGAATGCTGGTTTTACAGCATGACCATTTGAGTGAAGCTGGTTGTTACACTAGCTTCTAGTGAAAAGATAGCAATACACTTACTGAAATTCAGTAGAAACTGACGGACTTTCAGTACATCCATAGCTCTATTCGATAACATCTTCAGCTCTCTCGAATGGTAACAGATGTTACATCTTCCCATACAGCAGCCTCGTAGTTTTCCTGGTGTTTTGCTTAAGTCACAAAGGGTTTCAGGGAGATAAGTGAATTCTGCCTCATTTCGCTCCCATACCTTATGGACTGTCTTTGGAGCCATATGACAGTGGTGTCAAGCAGTGCACATGCCCCCTACCATGACCTGGGGGCAGATGAGAATTAGGTGCCCTCTCAGCTACAGCTAATTCCGCCAGCTCTCAGCACTGTCAGGCACCCCCTTGACTGTTACTAGGGTACAAACAACCACACTTGAGCTAGAAACGCTCCTATACAGTGAGTGTTCCTCACCATCTTGAGGCAGAACTGCACCACAAAGTGCTCCTGGTGCGGCACTAAGCACTGTCCCATATCCAAGGTCCAGCTGCTACTTCCACAGCCACAACAGATATTGATTCGGCTGTAAGGGTAGATTCCCCTTCCCAAATTCCTCTTGCTAATCCTGCAGCATCTCCCATTTCCCACTCTTGCTTCATCTCTCCAGACACCTGGATAGCACTGGATGCAGCAGCCCTTACATCCACTGTCATACTCGGAACAGATTCCACAGTTGTTATTGAAAGGGATGATGTATCCTCTGATTCCGCTGTTGAGGACTCCCCATTGGGTTGGCTCAACTTTGGCAGCAATTGAGGAGGACTGCCCACGACTCACCCAACCATGGCTGGCTGGGGCCTGGAGATCCTATGTCTCTAACTGGTCTGCTTTATCTTCCTCACAATGTGGAGCTTCCTCCCAAGCCACATATCAGCTGTGTTTTAATACATGCTTGTTATGCTCTTAATTATTTCAAAAATCACCATAACAATATCACCCCCCTAAAAGGTATGCTCCCATGAAGGGCAGTAATAGCCGTTTAAGCGTATAATAATGAAAAAGGTCCTTGAAAGTAAAACTCCAGATAAATGTTTCAATACTTTATTGAGATACATAATTGGGAGCTGTTTTACCTATTGAAGATTTTGTATTTCTGTCCATCCAGTTCTGAGATGTATACAGCCCTGCCATGCAGTACAGTAATTTGGTAATGACACTGGGTATTCTTCCTGCCCCTAGCTTGTAATTGGACAGTAATGAAGAATGTACAGACCAATGAGTTCATCTTTCTGTCACTCTGCTCCCACCTTTTCTAAGCATTTTTTTTTGGTACCTAAACAAACTTAATTGCAACAGAAAGTTACAGACGTAGTTGCATCATGCATCAAAAGATACAGAGAAACAAAATGTATATTTATGCTAGGCAGAAACCTAAGTAGTGTAGAGGCGTATACAAACGGCTTTGCATAATGTTGTCCTGTTTGCCAGAGCATGTTCTTTTTTTAACACCTGATCACTGCATCACATTTCATTGGTTTAATGTGCTGTTTCTTTCTCCCCATTCTGAACTCTGCTGTACAGTGGACAAGAGAAGGCAGATACTATATCCAATTCAGGCACTTAAACTATTTGCATGTAAAGAAAAATACATTTAGTCATGTAATATTGAATACAGAACTGCATTAATCTGACTTTTTTATCTGCCTGAAGTTCACCCTTACAGCAGAGCTCCAGACAATATTTGGAGTGTTCTCCCTTAATACAGAGCTGTCCCCTGCAATACTATTCTTCCATCATTAGATGCCATCAGTCTTATGACCAGCATCAACTTGCTTTTTCCGAGCCCAGGCCAGCTTAGGACTCACCCAATCTCTAACTGGACAGAGAAATGAGAAGCAGCACAGTGATGAGTTCATCTTCCTACCACTCCTCTTATCCACATGCTTTTGTTAGCTCATAAACTGTTCCCTCGATGCCTTCTTTCACTCCATTGCTGCTATACAAGGGCTGCAAGAGGATATCGGTCAATATATGAACTGCTTGCACTTATAAAAAAGGACATTTAATATTTTATTACTGATTACAGAGCTGTATTACCGTATTTTCCGGCCTATAAGACGACTTTTTACCCCTTGAAAATCTTCTCAAAAGTCGGGGGGTCGTCTTATACGCCGGTATATGGCATACTGACACTTTCCAAGGGACACTAAGTACAGGGCTGGGCAGGGGCTGCTGTCTCTTACCTGGCTCCGGTCCCACGACGATCCGGTCCAGGAAGTGCGGCTGCTCCTTCATTCGGTTCGGCCACTGGATGTTCGCGCGGCTGCTGCTCGGCTCTGCCTCCTCACCAGTGATTGGCCGCCAGAACTGTAGCTCAGGAAAGGCACACAGGCGGCCATACACCGGCGAGGAGGCGGAGCCGAGTGGCCCCGCGAAAATCGACTGAAGGAGCGGCCAGTAAGTGTGCCGTCCAGAGGTGCTGCTGCAACCACATATGCTGGCTGCAGCAGCACCATACTGGAACAGGGGCCAGCAAGTGTCATGGGTAGGAATAGTGCCCCATCATTGGTGTCATTGATACCAATGATGGGGCACTATTCCTCCCACTGACACCAACAATGGGGCACTTTTCCTCCCCCCCCCCCCCCGACACCAACGATGGGGCACTATTCCTCCCCCCCACTGACACCAACGATGGGGCACTTTTCCCCCCCCACTGACACCAAGGATGGGGCACTATTCCCCCCCCCCCCACTGACACCAACGATGGGGCACTATTCCACCCCCACTGACACCAATGATGGGGCACTATTCCTCCTAACTAACACCAATGTTGGGACACTATTCCTCCCACTGACACCAATGATGGGGCACTATTCCTCCCACTGACACCAATGATGGGGCACTATTCCTCCCACTGACACCAATGATGGGGCACTATTCCTCCCACTGACACCAATGATGGGGCACGATTCCTCCCACTGACACCAATGATGGGGCACTATTCCACCCCCACTGACACCAATGATGGGGCACGATTCCACCCCCCACTGACACCAATGATGTGGCACTATTCCACCCCCCACTGACACCAATGATGGGGCACTATTCCACCCCCCACTGACACCAATGATGGGATACTATTCCTCCCACTGACACCAGTGTTGGGACACTATTCCTCCCACTGACACCAATGATGGGGCACTATTCCTCCCACTGACACCAATGATGGGGCACTATTCCTCCCACTGACACCAATGATGGGGCGCTATTCCTCCCACTGACACCAATGATGGGGCGCGATTCCTCCCACTGACACCAATGATGGGGCGCGATTCCTCCCACTGACACCAATGATGGGGCGCGATTCCTCCCACTGACACCAATGATGGGGC